TCCGTAACGTTTGCTTGGGTTAATAAAAAAAAAATTATCCCGTTGTCGTTGTCGATATCGTTCGTATAGAGCGGCCGGCTCGGAGGATAATTTCAATTATACACGCGAAAAAATATTGCAGGTTACATTCACCACGATTGGCCACGATGGTAGCAGCTCATTCGGTTCTGAATATTAAACAGTGATACTATAGATTATTATATTTTTATTAAATTTGTTGATTTAACACAAAGGTGTTCCAACTTTTTCTATTCATTCGTATCTACACACAAAAGGATGGAGGTTTTATTGAAATTATTGAATAATGATTAATTATGGACTTAAAAAGAGGGACATAGGAGAAGTGAGTCCTCCCTGAACCCTTGCTGAAAAAAATATTTTTACAGTTGAGAATTATATAATTATTTAATTAAATTTAAGATGATTGTAATTAATGTATGTTCTTTAGAACAATAATTTTTATATTATTACATAATAACAACCTTAGTTAAGTATATTTACAAATTTTAATTATAGTTGATTTTACCAAAAATAATAGTTGCAGGTTTTTAATTATTAAATAATTTTCAAATTAACAAGTAAATATAGTTAATTTTACCAAAAATATAGAAACATGATTTTATTCATTACATTTTGTTTAGCTTTTATGTAATTATAGTTAGAAGTTCACTGTTTAAACATTCAAAGTTAGGTATTTCTAGAAACTTATGTATATTTCACTTAAATTATTTTAAACGATAGTTAGAGTGTTAAATTAAATTATTGTAAAAAGCGATAAGCAATATTGATTAATTATTTTTAAGATTTTATGATAATAGAAAATGAAAAAAAAAATTGTACACTCTCAATTGTTATATATTTAAACAGTCTAAAGATTTTTTTCTCTTGTATAAATAATCAATTTTTTTTTCTTTAATATAATGTAACTGTCATAGGCTTACTTTCAAACGTGAATAAATATATAAGAATCTAAGTTAATGGGCGTTTGAAAATGTAGTTAGCCACTTTAAATTAGGGACTAAAATCAAACCCAAAACAACCGATTCTGGAACCCAAGAACCATTAAGTATTGAAAACCGGAACCAAACCGAAACCTTCATTATAAAATGAAAAATATCGGATGTAATAAACATTATTAATTATGTTTTTATTCTTAAAATTTTAAAGCATAAAAAAATTTCTGAAATATAATTTTTTTTAAATTTTATTTTTAATATTATGTGCTAATAGATGGACGACTAAAAGCTAAACCAGTTAATACTCAAATTTCATCAACACGAGGGTTATCTCAGTGGTGAAATGGGCAACATATCCTATTATGTATAGATAAAACTTAATTTAATTTATATATATTACTATTCTTTAACATGTAAAAACTGTTTTTGGCCAAATAAATTATTATTATTTATTATTATAAATACAAATTTGAATCACAGCATAATGTGTTCAAAAATGAAATTTTATTTTGCATATTTTCTCATAGTATTAAATACTATTTTTAGGTTTTATTAATAATACTGTAATATACATTACTATATAACTGTTAAAAAAAACTTATTGCGATAAATATATAAATTAATTGAAGAATGACATTTTGAGATATTTATTTTCGTATATTATGCTATATTGCCTAGTATAATACCATAATATCGGTAACATATACATCATTTTTAAATATTTATCAAAAAATACTACGGAATAAATTTAAAAAAAATTTATTAAGAACCCTATAGTACTGGAACCGGAAACCGAATCCTTATTTTGTATTTTTCAATAACCGGAACCGGTACCCTAAAATGTTAAAGGTACCAGTCCTTGCTTTAAAGGCATAACAAAATTTTAAATTAAATTCACATTAAATCGCATAAAATAAAGTCTTATAGGCACGATATTTTATTTATTTATAATTTTGTACTGTATAATTTAAAATAATTATAATAATAATATTAAAAACAATTTTCATACCTATTTTACTTATTTATAATATATAAAAGTGTACTAATTTTTATATTTCATAAATATATTTGTTATAATTTTTGAAATATATAATTGTTAAATTATTTACTATTTTTATTTTTTATTTTCAACTTTGATATAATTTTCGTGTATTCCATTAAACTTGTTTCAATAAAGTATTCAATTATATAAAAATATGATGAAAAGTGACAATGTATTTTAATAATAATTACATTTTATTACTAAGTCAACTTATTAAAAACTGATTCTATTCACTAAAAAGATAAAACTTTTTTTTTTTTTAGTTTTAAAAATAAGCCGTCATTATATTATTCAGTCATGGATAATTTATCCTGATGAAAAGAACCAAATATTATATATAATATAATAATGGGCGTGGAAAAGTATCTACCGGAGTAACAAGAAATATTTAACAAACAACCATGTAGCATGATAACACAATCGAATTCAAGGCCCCTAGTGCAACGCCCTATATCCACAATAGAAAGGGAAACTGTAATAATTACAGGGGGGAGGAAGATTTTGTTTGTTTATTTGAGTTCACGCACCTATACGCTTGCCAGGTCAATAATTCATTTGTAACACATCATACTGGTCTTGACAAGATTCCATTCAAATTATTAAACATTGATTGGTTCATACGAGTATAAGCAAAAACGCATTTTTCATTTTTTCCTCTTCTCTTCGTTTTCTCCCATTTCGTAGAGCAGCTGAAAACTATATTGTTACTGGATGGCTGAATGACTACGAGTCGTCGTATTTGCCACCACGTGTTGGAAGTTCTATACCTACTATTTTTTGTTTTCTCTTTCACCTGTATCTTACTCTCTCTCCCTTACTCTCTCCAACTGTCTGTCTACGTTTGTCTTTCTCTTTTTATATCACCCTCTCTTTGTTATTATCTCACCCTCTGCCTCCCTGTTTCTCTCTCTTTCTCTCTCTCTTTTACATAATCACACACACACACACACACACACAAACACAAACTGGTGTCGTCCCTTGCTTTCGTATATATGTATACATAGATTAATGCATATAAATATCTGTGGCTCATACGCATCGTGAACAGTTTTTCGTCAGAGAGCTGCAGTCGTTTCATATTTACACACAAAGCTTGCTTTTACAATCTGGTGAATTTCAATTCTTTGCTACACAACATATTAAGCTACTTGGCAGTCTTTTTAATTTGGAACAGGTGATTACAATTAAATATTTTACTTAATTATAAATAAGGTATAATTATAAGTTTGTAAAAAAAATTCGATAGTTTTTTTGCGTCCTTCAAATATTATTTTATACTAGAGATCATTAAAATATATTTATTATTATATACATAGAATTTCAAAACACAAAATATCAGTTTAAATTAATTTATTTTAATTTGAAATGTACGTAATTATTGTAATTTTGTAACTGTTATTAATTTGTCACTCACAATTTGATGTTCTCATCTATTATAAACAATAATAATATTAGTAACTTCGTGAAAAAATCTGCATAAGTCTTGTTAAATGTAATTGTTTATTTAATTTTTGGTTCTTTTTTAATGTAGATATAATATAATATATACTACAATTTTGATATAATTAATTTTTAATTAATACAAAGTATTTTTTTTTAAATTCTCAATACATTAAAATTTTTTTTTAAACGTTTTTATTAAAAATATCTATGAATACGATTTATTTTTTTTAAATATTTTTGAATTATTAAAATTTGTCAAATTTATTACACTTTATAGTGCTCCTATTTTATAATTTTCCAAATTTTAGCGGTGGTTAAAATTAATGTGATAAATGAAAGAAGGAATAATAAGTTAAAATATCAAGATAAATGGATTATAGTTAAAGTATAATTTTCAAACTGTATAACATAAATTAAAATTATTAAAATGTGCGAGATTATAAATAACAGATGTAAAGCAACCGGTGGGTATATGAAGCAATTCTTTTCTTGCCAAACAACCTTTTTTTTTCTTTATTTTGTTTTTCATTTTGAAATATACTTTGTAGTAATTTATTTTTATGATAATTATTATGATGTATACTTATTAAAATAACTATTAATAATATTAATTTAATAAATTGATTTCTTTTCTTTTTTATTTTGACGTACTCGTCAATAATATTGTAGGATTTTGAAATAACTTTTCTTTCAATTGATGTCAAATCTAAATTATGTAGATTCGTAGTAGTGATGTATGATCGATTATCAACAATTTCCTTTGGGCTGATGAGATACTTACTATTATAACCAATATGCGTTAAATATTTTAGTTTAATTTTCTCAAATTAATTTTCCATGTCCTACATGGATCATATATTCTTTGTTAAATTCAATTATCTTTTTACACCTACTGTACATATTTTTGCTAATCGGCTATAACTCACTAATTTATTTGAGAAATATTTATCATGTTTGTAATAATTTATACATTTTAAAAAAAGTTAAAAAATTAACTGTTAATTTCTTTTAGTATATTATCTATCACTTTAAAATAAATTACTTGCATTTTCAAAAATATAATTGATATATAAAAAAATATTAAAAATTGAAGTCATTATCTTAGATTTTGCATAAATGTATCTAAGGATTTTGAATATTTTTAAAAATAATTATTAAAATACAAGTTTTAAATACAGATCATCAAAAAAGATTAAAAACTTATTCTAAGTATATTTGATTAAAGTTATTAACAAAACTGTACATAGATAAATCATATCATTAAATTATTTGAAAGGTTTGTACAATAAATGTGACATAAGCCGTTAATATATGTGTATCTTAATTTTATTATTTCATAAATTATCACAATCAGAACAATTTATTTTTGTTAAATTATAATTATTAATATATTATAAGTATGTTCGTTGAAATTCTAAATTAATAGATAATGTCAAAACCTATTTTAATATAAAATTAGAAACCTATTTAAATATCAATTAGTAAAGGTAAATATTATTAATTGTAATAATAATTATTACAATTATTGTTCGATACAGAAAAAAAATTTATTCTGCAAGATGAAAGTCGTATTGTTTATGATATTTGCCATTCAATGTACCGTGGTTTATGGGGCTCGGATACTAGTGATTGAATCATGCGGCAGTTATAGTCATTGGCAGTACATGAAGTCGATAGTAGACGTGTTGACCAAACGTCACCACGTGACTGCTATCACTCCAATACTGTCCGGAGACCAGCAAAACTATACCGAAATTGATGCAACCAGCGTTTTTCCAGTGTATGGGGAAAGGGACACTATGGATTTGATCGAAAGTTACAGCTCAGTGTTCCACATGGTACCGTTGTACCCGAAAAATAGTTTTGAGCGTAGTATATGCGACTCGTTTTATGCGTTCGAACCGGTCAAACGCATATTGAAGGCTAACGATGGTAGCGCCAAGGCCAATAGATTTGACATGATTGTAATGGAACCTTTCTATTCTTCATGTCTTTCTTACTTGGCCTACCGGTTGCGAATACCGGAAGTCCACGTCTACCCTTCATCTTTGAGTACGTCATTGGAGTTGATGGTAGAGCCAAATTCAAATTACGTGTTCAATCCACTGCTTAAGGGTTTAAACCTTCACAGGTATATTCCCATTCAATTGCAATATTTTTACGCCAAATTCGTACCGTTGCTTACCGAAATTAGAATGAAGTACAAAAAACCCAGACGGTATGACGTGGTAGGCCTCAATCATAAACCATCCGGAGTACTGAGCAATATGCTTAATATTGTCGACACTCCGCGACGTTCTATTGAGAACATGGAACGAATTGGAGGTATTCACCTCAAACCACCGAATGCGTTGCCAGACGTAAGTTCTTTCTTACTTTGATACTTTGATTGCCGTAATCAGTAATACGTTTTCAGTATCCCACTTGCTTTGCTTCTTTTTTTAACTGTACGAATTAGACAATTAATTCCATTTTAAATGTTGTACTGTTATTGTTTTAAATTTGTATTCAATATTTCATCATCAATGAGTGAATATTACCTAAAAATAACTGTTTAATTTTTATATTTAAGGATGTATTACAATTTATTGAAGATTCACCACACGGTGTAATATACATTTCGTTTGGGTCCATTTCTTCGATGTCAAATCTACCAGATAACATACAACAGGCATTCGTTGGAATGTTTGAAAAAGTTCCTCAAAGAATACTGTGGAAGTATAATGGTAAAACTATCTACTTACCTAAAAACGTTATGACGAAAAAATGGCTTCCACAACGAGATATTCTTCGTAAGTAATCAAAAAAGTTATAGTTGTAATAACCAATATAATTTAAATAAGGATAATTTTTAGTTCACCCCAATGTCAAGTTATTTATTAGCCACGGAGGAATATCTGGAATTTATGAAGCAATTGACGCTGGAGTCCCAATTCTAGGATTTCCTCTTTTTTATGACCAACCAAGAAATATGGGTTTCCTTGTACAACATGGAATTGCACTTTCAATGGACATATTAACAGTAAACAAAGAATCATTATTGAAAAACGTTCAGGAGCTCCTTTACAATGAAAAGTATGATCAATATGTATAAATATATATATATAACTGAAATGTGATATATTATTGAAATCTTCGAACACTTGTAAATATATTGCCATAAATTGATTATTACTTTTAAATATAACTGCATAGAATTATTGCTCTCACAGCACTATTGAGCTTTGATGGGCTAGAGAAAAAATATTAATAATAACTCAAAAGAAATTTGATTTTTGGTAGTTGACTTTGAACTTAATATTTATTTTACTTGAGTACTGATTCTATTATTAACTTCATATTACATTTTCAAGTCTTGACATTTAAACATAGAAAATATCAGTAAAATAATAATATTTTATAGTTATCTAAAAAATCTTAATATTAAATCATTTTGTATCTAATCATTTAAAATTACATTTTTTTTTTTTAATTTTGCATTTATACTTTGAATATACTTATAAGTTAATAAAATAAGTATAAGCAATTAGTTCTAGTTTTACCCGATGCACTTTTAAATTATAAATTATAACCTGTAATGTAATTCTTAAACAATAATATTATATTAAATACAAATTACATTTAAAAATAATATTATCACACGGTTTAAATATAATGCTATCTTTTTTTCTTAGGTATTCTATCGCTATGAAAAACGTTTCAGAAGAATTCAAAACCCATTTAATTAAATCACCAGAAATAATAAATTCTATGGTCGAACAACTAATCTGTAAAAGTAGATTAATGAGTAATTCAACTATTGAATTTCCAGAAACAAATGATAACATAGTTTTTAAAATATTTCATTTTATTCTAAGTAATTTCTTCTAAAATATTTTAAGCTGAAAGTTCGCACCATTAAAATAATTTAAGATAAACTTTGACCACCTAATATGTGTGTGCGAGCATGTGTGTGTGTGTGTGTGTATGTCGACGTTGCTGTGATTTTATCACCGGTAGGTGTTTCCGGATTCGTGGTAATCACCGAAGTGCTACAGAGTGCGCACGTGAACAAAAACGCGCACGCCTCAAGTCGGTGTTGAATTTTGCCGTCAGACTACGAGATCACCATTGTCCATCATTCAGTATGATTTCGAGAGTAGTCGAAAGACATTGAGGCGCTATTTATTGATGCCAACTATTCAGATCACAATGCCATAAACTAGAAAATGATTAAATTATCTTGGAGACTGAAAATTAAGTAAGAAATAATAAAAATATAGTTTTTTGTTGAATATTAATAATAGATAATTAATTAAATAATAATCATTATTATTTTTTTTTAAAGGTAAAAGAATTGGAAGCCCCGAAGATCAACGAAAAAAATGAGTTGTTTATCTCAAAAAAGAAACAACAGTAATGTTAATGTTGTCAGACGAACATTTTTCAAAAGTTAAAATCGATAATAATGATCGTTTCCAAATACCGGATTTCAATAGGATTCTAAATTTTTCTCGTCATTTGTTTGCAGTTTTGCGTGGGGATAAAATGTACAAATGATGTAAGATAATTTGTATTTGATATTTATATAATTTTAAATAGTAATCACTCAAATATTATAACTAGATATAAAACATGGAGTGTTGAACACAAATATACAAGTGCCCAGATTTCACCTTTTAAAGAAAAAATCTTAAAATAAGAAAAAACCATAATTTAAAAACAATGAAATAACTTTTTGCCAAACCACATAACAAAGAGTAGTTGGTCATCAAGATTTCAAAAATTTAATTACATATCTAGTTGCAGCAGTAACAAATGTGCATAAGATTCAGTGACAATATTGTGCAATTCCAAATTTCAAAGTCATAATAATAATAGATTACCATTTAATTTTTTTTTTTTAAATTTATTATTTTAATTATTTTTATCATAATTTATTTTTGTACAAAGACAATATAGATATAAAAGACTTTTATAAAATACATATTTATACTTTTATGGTGATAAACTATACTAATAAAGACTAGGTATACTTAATCTACATCATGATGTTTCATGATGGCAAATGCTAATGAATAAATTAATACATTTATAATATAAATTATTTATAATATTATATAATTATATAAATGAATAAATGAAAATACATTTTGATTAATCCATTCATTTAAATTTTTAGTTAATAATTTAAAATAATATACTTTTCTTTATAGAATAATTCTTAAAACTTAAAATGTCTTTTCTATAATGTTTTTCTAATTCATTTACAAAATACCAAGAGGGGCCCGTTAAATTTAAAAGAGGTGACAGGTGGCTCCTATCATCCCCTACCTCAGTTCATGTATATGATCTACTCAATATTATAAATTTGTAAAAATAATGACAGTTGTACATAAAAATAAAACTTATTATGATCACTAATTAAACAGACCGTTTCAATTTTAAATGTTTGACGGTTTTGTAATTGTCAATGAATTGCCTTTATTCATATTCTTCTATTTAATGGTGGCCTTTTCTTGAACCTACTCTTTCCTGTGTTTATTAATTATATTTAAAATAACTAAAGATGTACCTAAAATTATTTAGTAATGTAACTTATATGTGATATTGTAAAATAAACAGAAAATAAAATAAAACGTGGATTGTTATTCCTATTTATTTGACGAATAACGTCAACCACACAATAATTACATTCATTCACAATAATATTATTGTTTATATGGGTATATATATGGGTAATAATGATTTATTTACTTGTGTTTTGTATAAAAATTAATATATTATCGAAGAGCGCGGAACTTATTTTTAGAAAAACCAGTGAGGGCCAATTTCGTAAGTATACACCAAAGTCAGCAAAACGTCGTAAGCACAGATTCTGTTTATGTTTCATACAATTTTTCCGTCAAAAACCAATAATTTTATTTCAATCAGTTAGTTTGTTGAAATGATGCGATAACAATTCTGAAAAAATGTTTGATTTCTACGAGAAGTGTACTGAAGAGCAGTCGAGCTTTTTTTCAGTTTTATTTAATAATAATTTCTAAACACTAATACAAGATTTAATATTTTTCAAAAAATTTAAATCAAATTTGTTGAATTTTGAGGGCAAAATTAAATAATGTTATCCAATCGATCTCAAGTAGACCTAATGCCGAATTCAAATACATTTTCTTATCATCTTGTCGCTTTGATACAATGGTCGGACCGATTGACTACCAATTGAAGTTAAAATGGTAGTTTTTGATGGAAAAATTAGTCGAGATCTAATCGCATTGTTATCTTATCCGTAAATTACTTTACGTACATTTCATATCATTATCGAAGTATATTTTAGGCAATTCCGTCCGATCACACGAAATATGGGGCTCGCGTAAAATAGCCAACAACAAAACCGCCGAACCGTAATATAGCCGACAAATATTTTAACCGAAATGCTATCCCGTGTGGCAAGGGTGGGAAGTAAGCTAATTAAGTCGCGGGCACGAGCCGCAGACGAGGACCGCATTTCGCTCAAGACTCAAATTGCCTTCCCGTGCGAGCCTCACATACTTACTATTTTTTTTTCACGCCCCTACGTTCATAGCAGGGGCGGATCCAGACCGAGAGGAGGGGGGGGGGGGATTTTTAACGGACACACATTATATAGATATTTATATAGATAAAATTAAAAATATTAAATTTGATATAGGTTATTTATTTAAATAAAAAAAGTCTTGAAAAAAAAATTATAAACAGTTGAACTCCGATTTACCGTATTTCGATTATCCGTGATCCCGATTAACCGTGCTCAGTCTTCCAAAATTATCGTCGCTAGAAATAGTTCGGCTGAAAATTTTAATCAGGTCGGACGAACGTATTTTTATATTTTGTACAGACAGTGATGTATTAGAGGTTATACTCGGGTATACGCCGTACACCCGGATCCCTATTTTTGGATTTATGCGTATACCTTTAAGAAAATTCGTCTATCATGGATATACTCAAACACTTTTATTAACTATTGAACGCAAATTACAATTTTATTTTATTTTTCCCAAATTCATCAACAACTTTTACAGCTAAATTAAATTCTTCGATTTTTTTATGTGTAAACTTAACATACATAATCCGGATAAACGATTCTCACACATTGTTGAACGTAACTAGCTATAAATATTAATACACCTTGGTACCAATTATGATTTTTGGGATATTTAATTTGGATATAATTATTTTAAATAGCTGAAAAACAAGGGGGGGGAGTTGTCCCCCTACCCCTCCTTGCGGTCGCCCTTGCGCAAGCTTCTAATTTTTCATCACCATAAGTCATAAATTATAAAACAACAACAGTATAGAATTTATTATTATTATTATTATTATTATTATTATACACTATAGCTACTATCCAAAAATAGTCTCGTGCCCGCATAAACTTCGATTAAATTTTACCCGACTTCGGGTATTTGCGAAGACGGTCGGAAATTGCTAAGTGTCTGCATACTGTCCATTAAAATTTAAACAATACCAGTGGACACGTGCGATATTGTATTATCGAGTAGATATTATAATTGTTAAAAATAGATTAACAGTCAAAAAGCTCTGTTTATCAATTTATCACAATATTAACCGATCTGTCTACGATGTTTTGGATAGATTGTGATTATTAATTATTATATTGTTGTCAGTTTGTCACTTAATCAGTATCTATCAGGGGCATATTTAAGGGGGGCTAGGGGGGATAAGCCCCCGCAAGTTGCTAGAATAGCCCCCCCAACCAATTTTGATTACAACAAAAAATGTAAATATATTCTGCAAATTTTAACTAGTATAACAATTCCAATTGTAACCGATACAATAATATTTCAATTAAAAATAATAAAATAGAATAAATTATTAGTTATCTAAAACCATGGCTAAGTATATAGGTATGTTCTTATTAAGACGCATTTGCGTTCTGAGCTATGCACGTACTACTATTCCACGATTCGGCATGTAAAGAAATCTTAGCTGGCCGCACTGACCGTGATTTTTATCACCGGCTTCCACTGCTACCGAAAAATTCTATCTCTTATCTATCATATAAAATTTGGTTGAGCGCGAAAACACGCTATTGATCATGGTCATAATACTGATAAAATTATAAGGACTATTATATCATATTAAATAACGAACACTAAACAGTTGAAATGAGACATGTCTAGTTCAAACGTCTTGTATAACTCCATTATCGCATATTTACAATGTAAGTACTAGTTTTTTATATTTAATCTATTTATGTTTATAATATGCAATTTTAATAATTTTATAATGATAATATAAGATAATCTTATATGCAATTAATAGTATGTTTACTGTATTTGTATTACTTAAAAAGTAATAATATTATAATTAGTATATATTTGTTTGATTAGGTTAAAAACTTGGCTTAAACGTTCAGATAAACCAAGTGTACTTATTCCTAATAATAATGAAGATGAACCAAATGATCCAGGTAATGATGGTAACAAATGTTAAATTTTAATAATTTGTACTATAATTAGATATTCTCTAATTAAGACTGATACCATCACTTATTACATGAGTTAATTGTTTTATAACTATTTTATTTAGTTACGAGTAACAATGGTGACATTCAGTTTAAACTTTAATTTAAAAAATTAAATAAGCAAAGCAAGAGTTCATATCATCTTTTTAGTTTGGAAAAATACAAAGATTATCAGAATACTAAAAAAACTGGTAATGTACATGTACGAATGTCTAGTGCTTACAAAGAAGAAGTCGAAAAGAATCGAAAATACATGCTAAATACACGATAAAAATATGTCACAGGTTGATATGTGTTATTTAAAATTAATAGAGTCAAATAGAAGTTCTTCAACAAACATATTTATCTAATCACGTTATAACTAATACATATGGGAAATTTTCAAGTCTGTTGAATTTGTTTCATATTATTTAGTATATTTTTAGCATTTGCTATAGCTGTTTCAAAAACAACCATTGAGAAAATAATATCGTACACACTTAATATTGATATAAAATTAAAAATTTTTCATAATTCGTTTGATAAAAAGTCTAGATTAACCGTGTTTTTCATTTTTCCGTGTGACCCTTCCTCACCATTGCCCCAGATAATCGAGGTTCTAGTAATAATAATAATAATTTTTTTTAGTTATTCCAATATGTCTCAAAACAATAGAGTTTATAAATTACAAATTTGTTGATTATAGAGGTACCGAACGATTTTTGCGTTGGTCGTCATCAGTTATCTCGTTTCGGAAACACCGACAAACACAAAACTTGATTACGAATATTTAACATCATAATAATAGTATATAGCTATGATATCAATATATCACCAAATAATAAATATAAGTGATAACATAGTACCAGCATAAGTTTGGTATAAAAAAAATAGTTTAAGATTTCCCTATTTACCCTTGAAGTAATTATGTCAAAAACTAAAGTCTGCTACGGTGAACGGGAGGGGGGAGGGGTTAACGTGATCGCCCCATTCGCCCCCCTGGATCCACCCCTGGTTAATGGAAAAGGTAACGCAGGGATCTATGCAACAACAGACTATTCTACGAAAACAATTTCAATGGAACAAATGAAATATGTTTAAATGTTTCTGCGTCATACAAGGAGGTATATTTATGAATATGAATATAAAATTTAACCAAAAAATTATGTTTTGTAAAGGCCGTGGTATACATTTCAGTTTCTGATTGTGCTGGCAATACGACACTTTTGGAGATTTCCACTTTACCACCAGCTGGACGAAAAAATATCACTTTCCAATGTTTCAATCTTGGTCGAAAACCGAACTTTCGGTGCAGGCGTGACAAATAATACTTTAGCCGACAAATATAACAAT